TAAGGGGAATAAATGTCCTATGTAAATAATTTTTCTGTTTTGTTATGTTCAGTCTGATGTAGAATTGTTTTGTCTGTTCTATGAAAAAAATGGTCAGTTATGAAACGGTCAAAATTAAATCAAATGTTCAAACGCCCAACCTTTTTTCTATTATTATTATTTTTTCTTTGTGTTCAATAATATTGTTAATTGTATGACAAAACAAATGGATAATAAACTGTAATTTTAACTTTAAAAAACTTAACATTTGTCTATAATAGTATGTTGTCTTTTGTTAATGGTAAACTCAGCATAATTCATATCTTTTATGTACACAAATAAATAAATAAATATATATATATATATATATATATATATATACAGTACACACACACACACCTCTTTTCGATTAAATCACTTTAATAAAATTGTTGATAACATGGTTTTAAACTTTCACGTAAACTTTTCACTTTAAACTGTCACGTAAAACTGAAAACACGGAAGTAGTGTAAGACAACACATGCTCCGCCCACTTCCGGCCTCAGACTGCTGGCCTGGCACTGCTGTCCTCAAGCTGCTGTGACGTAATGGTTCTGCGGTTAGACCTATCACACTTTCAAGGCAAATAAAACAACTTACTGTTGAGTGACACTTACTTAAAATATTCAAGTAGCCACAAAGGAACCAATGACATTAATAAACCAGTGAGAGGCAGCAGTGCACTAATATGTTGCTAATGAGCAACATAATAACAGAAGAAGAAGAAAAGAAAACGAGTCTTAGGCTGCATCCGAAAACTTAGGCAGCTGACTTGCTGCCTCGCTGCTGTATGAGGCAATGACTTTGCTGGCAGCGTTTTTGCACGAAGGGAAGGCAGCATTTTAGAGTTTTCGGATGCAGCAACAATTAGTGGTGGAAATTTTGATTCTTTTAAGAGATTCGTTCGTGTTCAGTTCGTTCACCAAAATGATTCGTTCAGATTCGTTCACTGATTCATTCAGTGACCATTTCTTCATATTACATAAATACGCCAGCAGGTGGCGAAAAAGAGTGTTTTATGTGTTATGGTTTGTTTTTATACAGTCTATGGTTATGTCTTAAGTCAACGAACGTATTCACTTGTTACAAAAACTGATTTGGCTTTATTAAAATGTGTGCATAATCTAATTAAATAAAGTCTAAATAAGTTGTTTAATTGTTTGGTCAGACAATTACACATTCATAAATCGGGGATTAATTGTGGAGGTATGCTAAATATGAATATATAAACAAGCGTATGTGCACAGTATTTATAACTGCGATTTGCATCTGCTTTCTGCTGATTGCTGATCGAGATTGACATTCTAAAATGGCCGACTGACCCGGTACACTCTCATTCATTTCATTCACGAACGAGATGTACCAGTTCATTCAACTCGTTTACGAACAACATGTACCAGTTCGGTCATTTCGTTCAAGAACGAGAAGATCTCTCCATCTCGTTCAGACTCAAAAGAAACTCGTTCAGTGAAGGGCGTATTCCTGCTAATAGCGCCGCGCTATTCTGGAGGAATTTCAGTGAACGAGAAATATGAGTCAATGGATTACGTGAATGAGAACGATTCGTTCACCTAAAAGATTTGTTCAAAAATAACGATTCGTTCACGAACGAAACATAATTAGTCATAATAGACTTTTCACTCATTTCCTCCCAGGGGCGGCGTTTCCGTATGGCAGAGTATGGCAGTTGCCATACCCTAGCCCAATCAGGTGTGCCGTGGAAAATCCAAACTCTCTATTATATTTTGTTATTATTGTTTTAAATCACTGCTATTGGTCTTCCTTATGTCTGTTTGAGGGTTTTACAAATATTTAACCAATGAAAAGCATTCAAAAGAGCTTGTCAATAAACTTTTTAACGCTATGGATCCGCAAACTGTCAGCAAAACCTCTTAACTTCACCCTGCTTCCATTCAGAACAAAGCGGAGACAGATCTCGGCTTGTTCGCAATGCAAGGGTAAATAATAAACGATGTTTGAATAAGTACAGTGTTTCCTTTACTAAAACACTATGTCTATAAAGGCTAATGTTTTTTGTGTGTTTGAAGAGCGGAGAATAGCTTTTGCCGTCTAGCTGTAACCAATAGGCTACTTTTGTAGGCTACGTTTTAAATATCCTGTGCATATAGTGCTTCATCGTCTATCATGAGATTTTGGCAAAGTGTATTAAACGACATGAAAAACTAAGTGCCCATATAGCTACAATAAATGTTATAACCTGTAAGTTGATGAAAGCGTATAATCAGTGTTCGAATTGTGTCAAAGCTCTTGGGGGGTCCCCCCATCCCCTTCACAAAAAATAAATAAATATTTATTATATGTATTATTTTATATATTTATATATATAAATAGAATAAAATAAAATACAACTTTATACATATGATGCATATCCTCGTTATCATTGAGAAAACCTAATTCTAAGATAAAAGATTATTTTACGATGATCAGTGAATTAGGTGTACCAAACAATCACTAAGCAAAGAAAAATTAAACATCTAGCCTAGGGGTGTGCTGATGTTGACAAAAAGTGATATCTCTATATTTTCTGGGATTTTATCGATAACGATCGATAATCAGACGATATTTTCCTGAGTGTGTTGCTGACTCTGTGTGGTGGTCAGGCAGAGGAAACACAAAAGCTGCATCTGAAGTGGCATTTAGATGCATATACACACTATTTAATGCAATGCATGAATGCTTTAATCTGCAGTTACAAATGCATAAATAATGTTTTAATATTTTAATCTTAAAACGTTGAATACTGATATTTAAAATGATTTTTTTATATATATAAAAAGGTACTTTAAAATGTGAAATTAAAATCGCCAGTAGGTGGCAGCAAGTCACTGTTAACAAATGAGTCATTGTGATTGAACCAAATCGTTCAAAAGGTTGATTCATTCAGGAACAAAACACTGTCATGTTTTTCAGAGACGCAAAACAGTGCTGTGGCTTTGTTTGGAACCATTTTTGTTGGCGAAATAGAGCAAAAAATAGGCAATATGGTGTCTAAAACGTAAGTCTCTTAATATTAACTTCTTGTTTATTGAACTGTTATATAAAATCAATATCAAATTTTTGTGGGAAAAAATGGCACTCTTCGTGTGATATTGATCAACTATATGAAATTATATAAATATATACGTTTTCTGCCCCTATATCTTGAATTTTGGGAGCATTCTAAATGCAATTTATTAGATTGAATCGTGCAGTGAAAGAACACTATAAATGAGCATTCAGTCTAGCTAGTGTTTAAGCACTCATAACTCCTCTTTTAATCAATGAAGCTATCCATACACGGACAACTTACATCATACCTACATCTGCACTTTGTTGCTTATGATGAGGGAATTCCCGAGTTTCAGTCTGAAAAAAGGGGGTTTCAGCAATGACTAATCTGAACACCTCTGATTGGCTACTGCATTCCAAAGCTCAACAGAATCATGTGTGATTGGTTATAATGAGCAACGTTGTAAAAACGAGTAAAAATAAAATATAATGTAACATAAGCAGGTCTAAATTTAATACAGCAATCAAAACTTCATTTTAAGTATTAAAGTTTTATTGAAAAACCAGAGGATGACTAATCTGAACACCTCTGATTGGCTACTGCATTCCAAAGCTCAACAGAATCATGTGTGATTGGTTATAATGAGCAACGTTGTAAAAACGAGTAAAAATAAAATATAATGTAACATAAGCAGGTCTAAATTTAATACAGCAATCAAAACTTCATTTTAAGTATTAAAATTTTATTAAAAAAACCAGGGGACCCCCCAAATATATTTTTTGGGGTGTTATGGGGGGCCCCTAATGCTTATGGGAGGTCCGGGACCCCCCCAGCCCCCCCTCAATTCGAACACTGCGTATAATGCGATGCACTTGCTGCCTCAGATGCGGCCATTGTAATGACAGACAAAAGACAGATCTCCGTCATTCGCTGGTCAAAAACCTTGTTAACTCCATTCTGACACAAGACAGCAAATAAAAACAACAGCTGTAAGACAAAGCAACTGCATAATTTATTCTGCCGCAATGCACTGTCAGTGAGTAGTTATACTAAGTCACGAGAAAACGTCTCAGGTTACATATGTAACCATGGTTCCCTGAGTAGGGAATGAGACACTGCGTCCTCTAG